AATGTGCACGCATGCGCGTGTGTGTGTGTGTTCACACATATGTCACTGAGCATTTCACAGTCTTCCAAGGGCTTTGGAAGGAGAATGAGAACCCTTGGTATAGCCTGGAAAATTTATGGTTGCCCCCTTAAGTTCACAAGTAATTATTGAGTCCTACAGCAAGGCAGGAGATGTTAATATTGGTAGTAAAAGACCTTTGGTATTAACACTCTTAAAAAACAAAACAAAACTATGATTCTCCTTTTCTGACATCCTCAAATATAATTTTTTGCCTCCTGTATATTTCTATTGTTGGTTTAGAAAAAAGGGACTGATAATTGTGCTGTATTTTATCTTTTTAATTATTAGACAGGTTTGATTCAATTAATGCATTTATATATGGTCTGAAAAGCTTTGGAGTTTAGGTACTGTGTGGTGTTGGGAATAATTTCAAAAGGTGAATAAGGTCTTTTCTTGATGAAAATTTAAATGCATTTATTTCCCCAGAGAGAAATTGTTATCTAGAATTTCCCAGGGGAAATTCTTTTTGGTTGAATAGCTTGAAGGCATTAATGTACTTACCTGTGTGTATACTTTGGTTGCTCTTGTGTTTGTGCTTATAGATTTCTGGATTTCTCTGTAGGAGTCTGTGTGTACTTTGGATGCTTTTGTGTTTGCTCACATGGATATCTGAGTTTTTCCATAGCAACACTTAAAAAATAATTTTTTTTTTGAGTTGTAGACAAGTTAAATTATCCTGACCTGGAGTGTATCATACTTACTGAAATTCTTGAAGTCCTTAGGGAATGAAAATATTAGAAAAAGAAAAAGAATTTAAGTGATTTAATTTTCATAAAATGCTAATTTGTGTTACTACCATAGTTCAGTAACTAGTACAGATGTGTTTTATAACAGGCTTATTTTGTGTGCATGTAAAGAAATTTGTACCTTATTTATTGAATCCTGAATCTTTAGAATCCAGACAGTGCTTTCTTTTCACAAGAGATTCTCAATAAATCTTAGATAAAGGGAATATAAATAGATAGAGTAAAGGGATAAAAATGGAATAAAGCCACCAGCAATGCAAAGATATTATTTTAATAATTTCTGATAGCATGGCACAAAGAATTAAACTTATTAGTGCCTTTTAATTTTTATAAACATTGAGGATGTTGTAGGTCCCAACATTTTTCTTTTACCTGTGTTTTATAATTTTAATATATTTATAATACTATTAAGTGACTGAGACAAGTTCTGGAAGTTTCTTGATGACTAAAGTTGTTTCTTTTCTATATTGCCCTCTTTAGGCAGGTAAAAGTGATACTGGCTTTGAGCTTTCTGCTTCATTCACATTTGGGTTTAAAAATTGTATAGTTTTCACTTTCTAAAGGAAATGGCTTGTTGTGGGACTACAAATTCTTAAAAATACACTAAATTTTCATGGACGGAACATTTTAATTTGATGGCTAAAATGCTGACTTCAAAGTTTAGCTTTTGAGATGATTAGAACTCTTGTAACTATAAGTGCAGTTTATATCATGACTGCTTCCTTGGATGGCTACTTCTAACTTCGGTGGCCTGATTTTTGCCTTTAATATCTTTAATATTTAGAGGAAGTAGTTTGTGATTTTTTTTTAAATAAAGAAAGTTTTTAAAAAATTTGTTATCTAAGGTCCTTATAATGTCTGTGGCAAGAAGGAGGTCAGAAGGAAATGCAGTATAATGTAATAAAGAATCAAAATGAACAGTTCACATATGCTGGTGTTTGTTCATTTTACTTGTGCAAGAGTGCTGGTCATGTCAGAGGTATTTTGAAACGGTTGGTTCAGTAATTTGGCCTACTGTCTTTTTTTTTTTTTTCTATAACAGTTTTTCTGTTTTCTACTACACCTTGCACATCCACCAATCCAAGACACCCTATAGGTGAGTATTTTTCTAGTTCTCAAATGGCATCACTTGTTCCCAAGCCAGTTGCCGCTTCATTGAAACTAGGCTATATTTTTCTACTCTGAATTATCTGGTCTTTGATTTCACAGAGTGTATTTTACTCCACACTTTAAAAGTTACCAGCAAACTGCTCAAGAGCTGTTTTTATGTTGCAGAAAAAAATCATACTAGGATTAAACTTTTTTTTTTCCTATTGCTTATATGCTAAGAATTTTTAAATGCTATTCTCAAACTCTGTTCTTTTTGAATTTTTATTACAAAATGGGAATTAGAACAGACTGGTTATAGATCTAAAGAAAATATAAAAGTTTATTTTAATATTCTGAGATGACATAGAACAAGGAATTAAAAAGAAAGCTTGTTTTAATAGTGCTTTTTAGTATTTCTAGAAATTAAGGATGGTTTTCCTCTAAAGGCTTAGGAGAAAAATTACAAAAATATTTCATAGATGGTGGTATTTCATGTAGTTAGGTTAATTCTCAATTCATGTAATTATACACTCATAGATCAGAAAGGCGAAGCCTTTTTATTTTTCCATGTTCATCTTAGACTTGCCTGATTTTTTTTCCCCAGTAAGTTTTCAAATATAGTTTAAAATTTTTTTTGTCAAGAAGGACATTTTCCTAAAAGCTTTGGAAGTAAAAAGCCTCCAGATTTTTTTTATTGGACTAGTAGGATGTCACGTTCAATTTGTTGATTTTGAGAAGATGAGATGAAAATAAGAAATTTTTTGGAAATGTGGAAAAATTTCTAAATTTTTAAATGGGGTCAATACGCTATCATGTTCAATTTGAGTTCAGTATCATGTTAATTTTGAGACAATTGGAGGAAAAAAAGAAATAGAAAAAAACAAACCTCACCTCTTAGAGCTGGTGATGATTGTATGTAGTTCACCCTTGCAAATACAGTTAAGATACCTGTAGTTAACCTCTGAGTCTGTCAAATTATTATCACTTAACCTTCTGTTGCTTTGCTCATCCTCTTTGATATTTTTTAATGGCTAGATGTTCTCAGCACATGTTCCTGGAAAATCTAACCTAGAAGTACTAAAATCAAAGGCAAAATTTCATTTTTTTTAAAGGCATGTTTTCCTGTCTTCTCTCATACCCTAGGCATGTATGTGGTAGCTTGCATGGCCGAATTAAGTGATTGGCTTTGTGAGGTTTCTTAGTAACCTATAGTTGGTTAGTCTTTCATATGATCACCTTTCTTTCTTTGCTGACTGTCTCTTGTTTTACCAGCACAGAGTGGGGAACTGTAAAGTGACAAAAGGAGTTGGTCACTGTCTTCCATGTAACCATGCCTGATTTGGGTGGCATGTAATTTTTTTTTTTTTAAATAAATGCCTCAGTTGCCTTTGTGCTTCTGCATGGTGCTTTCCTTTTGCCAATATTTATGCTTGTTTTTCTCTTATGAATTTTCTACAAGAACTTTGGAAAAAAATAATCCTTGGATTTCCAAGATCCAGGATAGGAGGGTACGTGTTTGCAGAAAAGGTCAAAATTTGAGAGTCCTGAAGGAGTTGTACTGTACAACTGTTCTGGATTGGTGGATATGCAAATATTAAGGAAGGGAAGGAGCAAATATTACTTTTGATGTGAGTGATCATAACATCTACATTTTTTCCAATTACTATTTGAGCCTCTTTCAACTGGTTTATTATTCAATTGGCAGTATCTTTTATTTTACACAGAAGGTTGAAAGCTGTATAAAATACACTATTTAAGAAATGTATGTAAGTGGTAAGCTTACTCATTAAAGAAAAATAATACTTTTGATTCTTAGGATAGTTTCCGATTATCCCAATAATTTTAAATATTAAATTCTTCTTTCTTTTTTTTTTTTTTTTTTGAGATGGAGTTTCACTGTCTCCCAGGCTAGAGTGCAGTGGTGCAATCTCGGCTCACTGTGACCTCCGCCTCCTGGGTTCAAGCGATTCTCCTGCCTCAGCCTCCTGAGTAGCTGGGACTACAGGCGTGCGCCACCACACCTGGCTAATTTTTGGATTTTTAGTAGAGATGGAATTTCACCATGTTGGACAGGCTGGTCTTGAACTCCTGACCTCAAGTGATCTGCCTGTCTCAGCCTCCCAAAGTGCTGGGATTACAGGTGTGAGCCACGGTGCCCAGCTTAATTCTTATTTCTGTATCTTGTATATTACATAGGCTAATTGAAATGTGTTAAAAATAAGGGAAAATAAGTAGAGCATTTTAGGAATAGAATTCTTAAAATGGAAGAAAGATTTTTATAATTCAACTTGTTAAAGATAATGAGAAATGTCCTATTAACATGTCAGAATTTGTTGGTGTGATATTAAACTGTCGACTTAATAAGTAAGGGGCATTAATTCAGCTTGGCAGCTTACTAATAGCCAAGCTGGTCCCTACTGGTGTGTGTTGGTAGAGCGTGATTGAAACTATGGTTAAGACTCTTTTTAACACCTGGGGAAAACTTCATTTTGTATTTTCCAACAATGGAAGTGTCCCAGAGCTCTTTGCTAATCATTTGCTCTTTAGGTAAGTTAGAGTATTTTGTGACTATTTTATAAAATATTGAACTAAGATAATGGGAGGAGGTGAATGACTGGTTCAGCAGGTAGTTCATTAATTTTAAGCTCTAGGGTGGTACATCTTGGTTAAAATGATTAATTTATATATTGTATGATTTTAGTCAAGGTGCTTAAAAACGTAAGCTGTGTTGTTATTCTTTGTGTAAAGTTTATGGATATCGCATGAGTGCCATAGGTGTATATTTATCTCTTTATCTGCAGCATATTTTACAGTGGTATTTTGCTTTATTATCTTTACATGCTAGATAAGTGGAGCAATTTGATACCTTCCACTGTTAATATATACTGAATAAGAATAATTAAAGGGCAAAACGTACTTTTTTTTGGTGGAGCAAGGGTAGACTGAAGCTGTGTAAGGCTTGTGTATCATTTCTTGAACTTAAATTTTGAGGCTGAAACTAATGACTGTAATAGGCCTGACACATTTCATATATTTGGAGATTACTGGGTAGACTTTAGAATAATCAATTTGAGTTGTTTAATGCTGGTTTTTTTCCTTAATCAGATTTTTCGTGAAGCTCGAAGAACAGTACCTAGTATTGTTTACATGCCTCACATTGGAGATTGGTGGGAAGCTGTCAGTGAAACTGTGAGAGCAACTTTTCTGACATTGCTACAAGATATACCATCATTTTCACCTATATTTTTATTGTCTACCTCTGAAACCATGTACAGTGAACTGCCTGAAGAGGTAAGAACTGATTAAGTATTTATCTTTCCTTATTGTTCTAAAATAGTTGACCCTGTAAATTGGATACCTTTTAATTATTATAAAATCAATACTGTCAGGGTTTATATCCTGAGTGTAACTGCCTATTAGCTGTGTGATGTAGGTAAATTATTTATTGTTTTAAGTTTTAGTTTCTTTTTGGGTATAGTGGTATTCCACAGTGTTGTTATAAAGATTGAGATAATTTATGCTTAGAACAGAACCTGACATGTATATATACAGATTCAGCATCTCTAATTAAAAAATTCAAAACCTGAAACTTCTTTGAGTACTGACATGAAGCCACAAATGGAAAATTTGACACCTGACCTCACTCGATGGGTTGCAGTCAAAACTTTGTTTCATGCACAAAATTATTAAAAATGTATAAAATTACCTTCAGGTTATGTGTGTAAGGTTTTTATGAAACTTAAATGAATTTTGTTTAGACTTGGGTCCCATCCCCAAGATAATCTCATTATATATGTGCATATATTTTAAAATCTGAAAACGTTTGAAATCTGAAACACATCTAGTCTCAAGCATTTTGGAAAAGGGTTACTCAGCTTTCTAAGACAATTGTGGCTATATCACTATCAGTTATATCCTTCTCATCCTTATCATCTGTGAGGTCATTTGATGAGATTTGACCTTTCAGCTCTTTCATTGATAGCATCATGTTAACTTGAATGTTATTTCTAATATGCGTATTTTTCAAATCAGAAATCTAACTTTGAGTTCATATCTAAGGTAAAATCACAGTCGATTCAGAAAAAATTAGTAGATCATCTTACTTGAGTGAAATTGATTTTTTAAAAATTGTTTTAATACCCCGAGCTTACGAGGTCTTGAAATACTCTCCTTTAGAAATGCTTAGAAATATTTTTCCCAGGAGACAAAGTAGGAATGATGTTTATATGAAAGATTTACATGTTTTAAATGCTATAATATAAATCTTGATTATTTAGAATTTTATGATTAAAGTGTTTGTTTACTGAGTTCTTTTATGTTTCAGCTTTCATTATCTTGCTAAAATAGATTTGTATAATTTACTGCTTTTTGTAAGGAAAATATGTTAAATGTAGAGTAATTCATTTTTGATTATTCAGTATCTGATAGAATATGAAGACCACTAATCACAATGTTTGTGATAGAGTCCAATAAAGTTTAACAGAATGCTGTATGTAGCAAGAGTTAGAAAAACCAGGGTATTGACTTACTAGTCTTTTGATCTTAGATAAGTACTTAACCTATAATTGCTTCATTTTCATCTATGACATGTGGATAATAACAGACAGGGTCATTGGTGTGAGACAGTATATGTGAATTTCTTTTGAAATTATGGAGCTGTTAAATGTTTGGTATTAGTATTATAAAATAGGAATGCAGCTGAAGTTGATTTAGAAGAATGGCCTGAACCTGGATATAACCTAGGAGCCACTTTACAAGTTAGATCCTCTTTCTCAGTTTTATTATAATTTTATGAAAAGAAAGAAAAGAGTTAAAATGTGGGATAAATAAGGATTCTAGTTGGGAATATATAGAGAATATTCCCTGAAAATTTCCCTCTATATTGGTTGAAAAATTTTTAAATAAATGTTCTATGAGTCTGACTTCTTGATAAGCAGTTTTTATGTTGCCTACTTCTGTTGCCCATATGCAAGTGTAATTTTACTGTTGGTTTAGTATTTTAAAGCTAACATTATATCATATACATTTTCAGTGTTATACTGTTGTCATAACTTTTAATGGATTCAGAAAGCCTACTGACTAGTAAACTTTTTCAGTATTTATTTACCAATGCCCTTAATTACTATCTAAAATAGTAGAAATTTGCCAGCATTGAATTCTGAAATTTCAGCTCCTTTCCCTCTCGCTTTTGTCTTTATAAGTAGTTATTAAAGCTATCATGGATATCATATTTGTGGGCTGAAGATTATGGGAATTCTCTTTTGATTATATAACATGTTTTATACTAATAGCTTGTAGGAAATTCTCCTCTGTTCCCAAGTCTTACATTTTATTTTATTTGTTTACTTATTTTTGTAGAGACGAAGTCTCATTATGTTGCCCAGGCTGGTCTTGACTCCTGGTCTCAAGCGATCCTCCTGCCTCAGCCTCCCAAAATGCTGGGATTATAGGTGTGAGCCACCATGTCCAGCTAAGCCTTTCATTTTAATTTCAAGTCTACCATTAGAATGCTTGCTTTCTTTTTTCTTTTTTCTTTTTTTTGAGACGGAGTCTCACTTAGCCGCCCAGGCTTGAGTGCAGTGGCATGATCTTGGCTCACTGCAACCACTGTCTCCCAGGTTCATGCGATTCTCCCGTCTCAGCCTCCCGAGTAGCTGGGATTACAGACATCTGCCATCATACCCAGCTAATTTTTGTATTTTGGTAGAGACGGGGTTTCACCACGTTGGCCAGACTGAACTCCTGACCTCAGGTGGTCTTGAACTCCTGACCTCAGGTGATCTGCCCATCTTGGCCTCCCAAAGTACTAGGATTACAGGCATGAGCCACTGCACCTAGCCTGCTTGCTTTCTTTAGGTCACAAGCTAAGATAGTAGTCTCTAATATTTAGCACATATTGATAAATATTTGGTGAATGAATGAGCAGCACAGAGAGTTGTAGACCAAGTAGCTGTAGGTTAGCAAGTTGCCAGATCTATGGAAGAAATGAGGTAGAGAGTGGGCAGTACAAAACCAATTCTCAGAGAAAAAAATAGCCTATTACCACAGTTGTGCTACTGTACTCCAGCCTGGGCAGCAGAGTGAGGCCCTGTCTCAAAAAACAAAAGAAAATTTAATGTCATGAAAATATGTTTAAATGTATTGTTTTAAAAAATGCAGGTAATAAATCAATATGTATGGTATTATTCCAGTTTATAAATATACAACTGGAAGGATATACATAGAAATGTTAATAGTAATTATCTGTGGATATAAAGGTTGTAGTCATTTTAGTTTTTTATTGTCTTATTTTCTATATCTTCCATAATAAATACCATTATAATCAGAAAATAAACCCCATTATTCACAGATGAAGGAGAAAGGAAGTTTCCCTACCTTATTTTTAAAATAGAAGAAAACCCCAAAATAATTAGTCCTTCCATGATTTGTGTCTTATTAGGGGGACAAAGTGACAAGTTCATCTTTTAGAACCTCTTTGACGTTCTCTTGCGTCTCTTTGTATGTATCTGTCTCTCGTAGTTCAATAGTCCCCACAATGAGTTTGTACTCAGTGCGTTAGTATCCTGGGAAAAACATTAGCATTTCTGTTCATTTTTATTTTTCGTATTAAATATTTCATGTGTATATGGTTTGTAATAAATAATACTATAAACCATATACACAAAAAATATACCGTACTCTTAAATATACTGTTTTGCTAATAGTATATTTAATAATAGTATAGCAAAATAGTATATTTAATAGTACAGTATATTTCATGTGTATATGGTTTATAATATATTATTTCCGAGTAGTATATTAGCAAAATAGTATATTTAAATAAATATGCATATAGTGATGGGAATATTTTCAGATTTTTTACTGATGAGGTGTTTGATCAAGAAGTGTCAGAAATCATTGCACCAGACCAGCTGTTATCAAAGTGTGGTCCAAGGACCCCTGAGGAGTCCCCAAGACTTTTGCAGGGGATTATCAAGTTTCATTTCCAACTACATATCTGCTGAGTCTGGGTTTTCATCATATACTTCAGTCAAACAACATATTGTAACAGATTGAATACAGAAGCAGAAATGAGAATCCAGTGGTCTTCCATTAAGCCAGACACAAAAGAGAATTGAAAACATTTAAAGCAGTGCTGGCTGGGTGTGGTGGCTCATGCCTGTAATCCCAGCACTTTGAAAGGCTAAGGCAAGTGGATCACTTGAGCCTAGGAGTACAAGACCAGCCTAGGCAACATGGCGAAACACCCATCTCTACAAAAAATACAAAGATCAGTTAGGTATGGTGGCGCGTGCCTGTAGTCCCAGCTATTCAGGAAGCTGAGGTGGGAGGATTGCTTAAGCCTGGGAGGTGGAGGATGCAGTGAGCCAAGACTGCACCACTGCACTCCAGCCTGGGTGACAGAGTGAGACTCTGTCTCAAAAAAGTAAGATTAAACAGTGCCACTTTTCTCACTAAATTTTGTTTTATATTTTGTGTGTTTTATGTTCTCTCTATATTTTGGAAAAACATATTTTTCAAAATAATGTATGTTTTATTCTTTTAATGTTAATATGTAATGGGTTTATTTAAAATATGTAAATATTGATGCATATAGCTCACATACATAAAAGCTTTTTTGGGGTCCTGAGACCAAAACTTTGTGAACCTCTGGTCTCTAGACCACTAGCTCTTTCAGGTGTTACTACCCATCACTTCTCCCATTCCTAGCACAGTGCTAACACATGGGAATTACTCAGTAAAAGTTTACTGCATGAAAAAAGGAACTAACAGTTGAATCATCACATAGAATTCAAATAACCTTTGCCCAGCCTCACTCCCTTTCTGCAGAATTCTTTTTCTTTTAAAATATTTTTTCTTTAAATTTTTGACCACTTGAGAACCATGCAGAATTGTAGTGTAAGTAAATTTACTTTTATAAACCCTTTCTGAAAGATACTTGGAGAATTTTAGTTGAGATATATGGGAATTGCAAGATATTTATGGAGAATTAGAGAAGAGAGCTAATTTAAGGTTGAGCACAGAAAAAAGACTCTTAAGGGAGGAAGCAGATAAAGTAGAGATATTTGTAGGAAGGATTATAAACCTTGGCCAGAATTGTACTTCTGTTTCTGAAGACATTCACAGTATCTGCTTTGTTATTAAATTATTATGAGCAAGTTTCAGATTATATAATTCAGTATATTGGAAATTAATTTTATTTAAAGAAATATTCCTCAACTCTGCTGATGAAAATAAGATTACATATAGCATTCTGTCAACTTGTTTCATGTAGTTGTGTTTTTAGGTTTATGGTAGGACCTGGGAGAGGAAAATCAGTAACTTCAAGTAGAAAAATCAAGTAAGGGCGTTGAAAACTCAGATTAGGTTGGGCGTGGTGGCTCACGCCTGTAATCCCAGCACTTTGGGAGGCCAAGGCAGGCGGATCACGAGGTCAGGAGATTGAGACCATCCTGGCCAACACTGTGAAATCCCGTCTCTACTACAAATACAAAAATTAGCCGGGCGTGGTGGTGGGCGCCTGTAGTCCCAGCTACTCAGGAGGCTGAGGCAAGGGAATGGCGGGAACCCAGGAGGCGGAGACTTGCAGTGAGCCGAAATCGCGCCACTGTACTCCAGCCTGGGCGACATAGCAAGACTCAGTCTCAAAAAAAAAAAAAAAAGATGGCTATTATTAAAAAAACAGAAATTAACAAATGTTGATGAGGATGTGGAAAAATGGGAGCCTTTTTGCATTGCTGGTGGGAATGTAAAATTGTATAGCCACTGTGGAAAACAGTATGACATTATCTTAAATATATAATTGCCATATGATCCAGCAAATCAAGTTCTAGGCATTTACTCAAAAGAATCGAAAGCAGGACTCGAACAGGTATTTGTACACCATGTTCACAATAGCATCATTCACAGTAACCAAAAGGTGGAAACATCCTCAGTGTCCATTGATAGTTGAAAGGATAAACAAAATGTAGCATATACAATGGAACATTATTTAGCCTTAAAAAGAAGGAAATTTTGATGCATGTTGCAACATGGATGAAGCTTGAAGACATTAGGCTAAATTAGTCATAGGACAAATTTTGTATAATTCCTTTTATATGAGGTTCCTTAGAGTATGTGTAAATGGATGATAAGCATATGAAAAGATGCTCATTATCAGTCATTCAGGAATGAAATACCACTGCAACCTACTAACGTGTAGGTTGGGGCAAGAGTTTTTTGCCATTAAAAGCTGCCCCAAAAAAGAAAAAAAAGTGCTTTTACACCAACCTAATAGCTATAATCAAAAATACACAATACCAAGTATTGGATAGGATATAGAAGCTGGAGTCCTTATATACTGCTGGTGGGATTGTAAATGGTGCAGCCACTTTCCAAAGTTAAACATAAATTTATGGTTTGACTCAGCAATTCCACTCCTAGTTATCTACACAAAAGAAATGAAAACATACGTTCACAGAAAGACATTTGTATGGGAATGTTTCTAGTTGTTGTACTAATTCTAGTAAAAAGTGGAAGCAATCCAAATGTTCTTTAATTGGTGAATGGCTAAACAAAATGTGATGAAATACTATTCAACAATAAATGGAATGAAATACTAATACATACTACAACTTGGAAAAACTTGAAGTATTAAGTGACAAATGCCAGGCATAAAAGACTATCAGTTGTATGATACGAAATGTCTAGAAGAGGCAATTCTCTAGAGACAGAAAGCATTATCAGTGGTTGTTAGGCTGGGACATGGGAGTGGGAGTGGGGATTGACTGCAGGTAGGCATGAGGAAACTTTTTGGGGTAATGGAAATGTTCTAAAGTGTGCTTGTGATGGCTGCACAACTGTAAAAATTTACTGAACTTTATTGAACTGTTTTTTCAAAAAAAAGTTTAATGATAAATACTGGAAGGTGTGCCTAAGTGCGTCTGGGAAAGTTAGGGAAGGCATCACACAGAAAGCATCAGCTTGAGTGGTGCATTAAAGAAGTGGTCAGAAATGAGTTAATAGTATGTATCACAACCAGTGTGAACCAATGTGAAAGACAGCGTGATTTGTTCTGGGAATTATGGAAGACTTGTCTTTGGTACAGCATAAGGTTTGAGGCTAGGACTGTCAGAAGATAAGGTTAGGAGTGAACTTAGAGAAGTATAATTTATGCCACTTATAAAATGTTGGATTCAGAGGTGTTGGTAGTAACCTGGTAAGAATATCCATGGATTATTGTAGGCCTGTCCTTGGTATGCTTTTGTATTCATAAAGTGTTAACATAGTTTTGAAAGTTATCAGAGAGAATAGTTAAAATGAAATGTTTTGCCATTCTTGAACGAAATCATGGTACGTCTAGGATATTAAGTTCTACTTATTTTTCAAGACCCAATTGATGTAAGTGATTTCTGCTACATCTTACCTAGAGTCTTTTCATCCCTTGCAAGGTCTCTTCTCTGTGTTTTGCTACCTCTGTTATAGTACTCCCAGCATAGTATCATAATGCTTTTTTTCTGAGACTCTTAAGATCTGTGACAGCAGAGAAAAAACACATTTTCTTTAGTTTTATAACTGCAGTGTCTGGCATGATGTTTGGCATACAAAATATGTTCAGTAGTAAACTTACTTCCAGAATTTTCAAAGAAAGGCCAGCAAAGCGTAGATTAAAGAGTTGGAGGGAACTGTGCATGAAGGTAGTCTACAAAAGCACTGGCAGGACACAAGGTGAAATTTTATAAACTTAAATGATTTGACTTTAGGTTGAGATAAATAATTCCCCATCCAGTTTTTGAATTCTGATGTTTACTTTTCATTGTTTCTTCTCTTAGAATTTCAGAGCTGGAAAAGGCATTTAGAGTTTATATAATCTAGTTTTCTTTATTCACTTTATTACCTTAAGCCAATTACTTAAATCTTTCTAAGCCCCAGTTTCCTCATCTGTAAAATGAGGAAATAATACTTACCTCATTGTTATAAAGATTGAATGACATAATATTTATGGAATTTTTAAGGGTTCAGTTCATAGGCTTAATCCAGTAAGTGGTTAGAAATGACAAATTCAATGAATTATTCAAATTTAGACCACAAACGTGTGGCTAAATGGGCAAGAATATGATGTGTTCGATTCTAATCCATATTTTCTCAGTATCATGGTTGGTATATCTTTCCATACTAGTGACCACCTCCCTTTTTTTATTTGCAGTTTCCAATTTGATTTGGGCTGGGTAACAAAAATCACAAGGTTAACTCTTTCAGTACATGCTTATTAGGCATGCTAAATACCAGGCACTGGGATAGGTGTAGGAAAACAGATGAATAAGAAGTGATCTCTGTTCTCAGGGAGTGTGGTGTCTAGAAGGTAGAAAGTAGACATTCTAGAAAAACCATAAAAATTAAATACAGTGTTTAATGTCATAGTAGACAAATTTAGATGAGGTAAAGAGGATTTAAACAGCATATCTTGGAAGGTGGACACCTGGGGTCAAAGTCTGAGTAGGTAAACAGAAGAGGTGAGTAATCACCAAGTGGATGGAGCTGAAAGATATGAGAATAATTGGCTTAATCTTTTTGGAGTGTATCATGGAACATAAACTAGACCAGAGGTATAGTTTATTTGCAGTGGAACCAGGATTCCAGAGATTACAGTGAAATAGACTTTGTAGGGAAAGAGCACAGGAAGGGAAGTCAATGAATAGGGAATACAAAGAAATATGAGGATAATAGATGGCAGTGTTAACATTCTTCCAGCTCTCTATTATAGATTCTAAGTAATTACTTTTCAGCTCTTATGTAAAAGCCCTTTGAGATTGTTGCCATCTGTTACAACCAGCTATCCTTTTTGCTATTGTCTGATGACTCTTACTCGATATATAGTATCATTCATTAATGACTTGGGCAACTGGACATTCTACCATTCCTGTTTAGCCCATGAGGTTGAACCCTTCAACAGCATAGCCTAGGACTAGGTTAACTATAACCCCATGTGAATGGTCTATGAATATTGAACATGATACTGGAAGATGAAGACATTGCAATTTGGTATGATATGTAAGCTTTTAATTCTTTATATATTTAATGTCTTTGTGTGTGTGTATATGTGTAGGTTAAATGTATCTTTAGAATACAGTATGAAGAGGTCTTGTATATTCAAAGGCCTATTGAAGAAGACAGAAGAAAATTTTTTCAAGAATTGATTCTCAATCAGGCATCAATGGCTCCACCACGAAGGAAACATGCTGGTAAAGTTTGTAAAGCCTTTAGGAAAATGTGGGGGGATGGAGTTAAGAAATGCCCTTTCTTGGAGTCAGTTTATTTTAGCCCTTTCTTCATGGAAGTGAGGAGAGTTTGTCAGGTTCTGTTTATCTTTAGATGACATGTGGAAGTGTCCATTGTGTTCATCTGACTTGAGATTGGGAAGTATAGCCTTGTTAAAGCTTTACTAAATAGGACTTCTTCTTATGACTTCAACCACTTCCTCTGGTAGATTTCACATTATGGGGCTCAAAAAGTCATAGAAAAAAAGTCTTCAGTTCTCCTATGCTTTAGTCACAGTAAGTACCCAGGACTTGAACTGGTAGGTTGTGAACACCAGGTGTTGTGCTCATTCCTTGTTGGGCCATGGTAGATTTGATGGGCTGGTTAGAACATTTGCCATTTCTAGTTTATTTATTGATTGACTTTTCAGAGACTTAGTTAGGACCCATTACATTTAACATTTTATTCTAGCCATTTGAAAATCTATTCTGGCTTTGTTTTAAGTGTTAGATTTTTCTTGGGTTTGGACTCAATAATTTTAGACTCTAGAATTGAGCTTTACGAGGTACCTCAAGAATTTGTCAGATTTCAGTTCCTTGACATAGTAAGGGCTGCATTCTAAGTCATTCGAAAGAGGTTTTATTTTCCTAATCTTAAAGATGCGTAAAGGATAAGATCTACTCGCTTAATCTTTTAGCCTCTTCTAGGAAGTAACAATCCTGTTTGGTAAAAATTTTTAAGCCTCTTTACCCTCGTTCCATCTTTTATGTTTCTTAGAGCCCTTCTTGGAGGATACTCAATACATTCCCCATCCCTGCCAAGTCCTTATTTTTCCATATTCTTTTTGCTTTGTTTTTCACTGGTTATATTATGTAACATTTTAGTAATTTTATTGTTCTTTAGTGGCTCCTTTCCAAATTTTATTGGTGTTTTAAAAATGAACACCTATCAAATTGCTGTAGTTTTGGTTTTTTCCCTCCCAAAACCTTGGGAAGTTTAATATGTAAATTATGGTTTATTTTGTTGCTTCCTGTTAATCTAAATATTTCATTATGAAAATGATTTATTTCAGTCTTTCATGCTTCTAGATATATTTTAATCTCATAGATTTGAATTTTCTGTGTTTACTGTTGATATTCTTTTTCAGTTGTTTCTGTTGACTTTCAGTTTTCATCTTAGGAGCTATTTAGAAATCAGAGAAAAATACTTAGAATTTTAATTCTGAGCTTTAGTGTGATATCAGGGAAGTCTTTTAAAATTAGAGAACATTATAATTAGGAAAGTTAATACTTTACCTTTTAAGAAGATTTTTGGTTTTTCTTAGGATAGGTAGTGAGTACCATGGATTTTACATATAACACTTAGGACTGGTTTTCCATCTCCTTCATGACCGAGGAATTCCTTTTTTTGTTCTTTTTTTTTTTTTTCCCTCCCTTCCTGCAGGTGCCATTCACTGTCCCTACTCTGTTGTACTCAGAATATGAGGGCAGGAGACCTGCCTAAAATCAGAATTCTTTTGGGGATAGGAAGGATCAAATATTACTTGCCCATTATACTTTTTATGCATATAAGGCAATCTCATTTTAAGAAGCAGTTTTTAAACAAGGTTGACTTGAGAAAATCAGTATGCAATACTTTTTTACTTGGAGATATTTGTGTTGATTTGAATTATTTCTTGTAAGTTATATATAAATAATATTTCAAAATCAAATGATTTTGTTTTTTAAAGGGGTCCTGTTGTGAGTTATTTTATAAAGTGAAGCTATTTCCTTTTTGTTTCTATGCAAATTTTTACTTGCTGGATTTGCATGTTTCACACATATAGTCATGCGCTGCATAATGACATTTTGGTCAACGATGGACTGCATGTATGATGGTGGCCTCGTAAGATTATAATACTGTATTTTTACTGTACCTTTTCTATGTTTAGATACACAAATATGACTGTGCTACAATTGCCTACAGTATTCAGTATAGTCGCATGCTGTCCAGGTTGATAGCCTAGGAGTAATAGACTTTACCATATAGCCTAGGTATGTCATAGGCTATACCATCTAGGTTTGTGCAGGTATACTCATATGATGTTCACACAATGACAGAATTGCCTAACTGCACATTTCTTAGAATGTATCCCTGTTGTTAAGCAACACATGACTGTATTTGTAATTCTTTTCTTTAAAGAACATTTTGAGAGAATGCCAAAAAAGGATCCTGGCCCATCATGTTGGAATCTTAACATTTTCTTCTGTTTTCTCTAGCTCTTTGTGCTATGGAAGTGCTTCCTCTTGCACTACCTTCTCCACCTCGTCAATTATCAGAATCAGAAAAAAATCGAATGGAGGACCAGGAGGAAAATACTTTAAGAGAATTGCGGTTGTTTCTCAGGGATGTAACCAAGAGGCTGGCCACAGATAAACGCTTTAACATCTTCAGCAAACCGGTGGATATTGAAGAGGTCTTGTTTCAGTAGTGTGCAAACAGTGAAGTTGAACTGGCTAAAAGAAAAAAATATTGACATCTTTTTTTGGAAGGAAAAAAAAGCAAAGGCATGGATGAATATTACCCCTAGCCTATAAAATTTTAATCCATGTGATAACTACCTATGTCATCAGCAAATATCTGGTGACTTTTGGATGAAATTAGCAACCAATTTATATATGTCCTCTTAATTATTATTAATCTTTGTGGTCTCTTACTCTTCGATTTAAGAAGAGGATTAAAAGTTGCCTTAGTCAAATATCCATACTAGACTATTTTTATTCCAGGATAAATTCTGCTCTCAAAGAGTATATTGGTGTTAACCAATCAATACCAGTTAATACTGGCATTTCCCAAATTATGTTTACCTCATCAAAAGAGGTAGCTAAAAACCTGAAGTTTCTTTGTCTTTCATATTTTGAGAATGCCTGTGGCTGGAATGCTGTTTGAAGTTAAAACATCCTGTGCAACTAAATTATTTTTCTTTCTAAGGGTTTTTTCTGCTCCCAGTGGAAAATTTCTCACTTTATATGTGTATTATTTTGTGTGCTTGTGGGAGCATGGTTTGTGATGATGAGAAAAGAAATTTTCCGTTTGGGAATCCAATACTGTCAACTACATTTTTGGTTTTTGTTTTATCCTGGGATAATGTAGTGTGTGGATGAACACAGTGTAATCTTTACTGGCCTCCTTCTTATAGTTCAGACTCCATGTTTGAACAGCTTTGGTGTTTTTAGTTTTTTATTCATTTCTTTTTTTTAAAAAAAATTGAATTATGAGTGATTCAGAATTTAATGTTGTATCCTAATTGTGAAATCTGTGCTTTTGGACCTGAGTGGATTCCTTTGAAACCATTACCTCATCTGTTGCTGGGAAGAATGAGCTAGCATTTACATTCCGCCCGCCCCCGGCAAGTCTGAAAATAAATACTTTCCCCCCTTTTTGGAATAAAGAGACTGATTTTATTTGTACCTTTATCCACAATACACTGTTTTTTCCATTTGGTCCTCTTATCAACCTTGTAGGATCATTATTATTATTCTTACTTTGCAGCTGAGGAAACAGACTTGTTGGCAAGTGACATAGCCAAGACTTGAAAGTTTTTTAAAATTCAAAGCCCACATTCGTTATCATAGCTACTTTATATCTTTCCAACAGGATAACAGGACATGCCTAATTTGCTTTTTTAATTAATAAATATCCGTTTATATTTGTGGGAATTTCCCCCCCCCCATAGTGTTTTTAGATAATCTTAAAACTATCAGCTGATTAAAAAATTATTTTAAATAAATGTGATATGTGTGCATGCCCTTCCTTCCACTCCCCTATTTGGTATATTTGGACTCTTAACACTTTTTAAAGGATAAGGGCTTGCCCCCAACTCAGCCTCCCATGCTGAGAGTAAACCAGTTTTGCTTTTGCTCAGGAAAACTCTTTTCTTTCCAATCAGAAAAGATTTGTCAGATTTTCAAATCCCATCTGTAATAGTTTTATAAATGATGGTAAGGTAGTACAAAGGGACAGAAAATGTTGGTCAGATAAATATTTTATTTAGGCTTATGTTTCTCTTGTTTTCTCCTTTGTTTTTCTTCTCAGGTTCATTCAGCTCTTAAGCTGAAAACATAGGAGTCTCTGGGAAGGATTGAGAGGGGGAAATAAGATAACCTAAAACTAAAGTTTTTATTTAACTAATGAATTTAAAGTGTCTGAAAACTTTATCAAATTCCAAAGCAGACTGCAGAGAAAACAAAACTTTAGAAAACAAATGTTAAATTTAAAATTAAGCATAGGGTGGTCACATTTATAGTCTTTAATAATATACATTTTAGAGTGCTTTTTAGTTTATAAAACAGTTTCCACTTGTACACAGGCATTTGTGTCAAATACCAGAACTAGGAATCCAGCTAATATCTTCTGAGGTAGTTTGTTTCAGTATAACTCTGCTACTTCTCTTATAGGGAGATTGACTGGTTTTTCAGCTCCTAAAGGGTGAAAAATGAATTAAAACACACATACACTTCTACTTAATATTTTTTATAAGTAATCCTAAACATTAAAAAACATATAAATTATGTATATGTGCGTGCGTGTGTGTGAATGTGTAAATTTAAAAATAATGGTATAGATGCCCTCTGAAACTGTGAGAAAACTAACCCTACGATCATAGAGTAGAACTTAACCATCTCCCTAGAAATCTTTCCTGGACTAATTTTAGACATTACTGCTAAGACTGCTTTTATAGCAAACCTATTTACTTGATTTGAGATTTGCATTGGGGAAGGCAGTAGATACATAAGTTGCTAGCACTTTCTTATTGGTCGGGGATACACAATTTATTGGGCAAATCAAGACTTAATATCTCTTGTTTAGGGTTATCTCACAGAAAATCAGCACAGAAAGCAGCATGTTTGTTTTTGTTTGTTTGTTTGTAGATTTCTTTATACCTAGGGACAAATCCAGCAAATCTCATACTGGTTAGGAAAACTATACTTAATTTTCTTATGTAATTGACTCTAAATGTTTGTGATGACTCCAAAGGAGTGGAAAATACTTTCCATGAAATAGTTCACTCTAGAAAACTGAAAAAGAAAATTTTTGTTGAAAATTTAAAGAGATTTATCAGAATAACTTATCTCATAGTATGAAAAGTCTTTGCTTTTTATTTTCCTTTTCTTTTTCTTGAAGTCACATTTATTGATGCTCATTGGGTATTTTTGTCCATACATTCTCTTCTCAGATATGCCCAAAGGGTTAAAAAAAAAAAAACAAAACAGACATAGTTTCAAATTTTAAGAACAGAAACATTTCAGAGTTGATTTAGGTATGACTTGGAAACTGAAGCTTTCATGGAAAGTATGGCAGATAGTAACTTTGGTAGCATAAACAGCACTGCAGTTTTATCTTTATAAATTATTTATTTGATATTTAGATTTAATTTTTAAAGAACTTTGTTTTTATTTTGTGTTTTTACGAACTGAGATGATATGAAAAACCAGAACTAATTTTTATTAAAATATCTTATTTGTTTTAGGTTTCAGATTATCTTGAAGTAATCAAGGAACCAATGGACTTATCAACAGTAATAACTAAAATTGATAAACATAATTACCTAACTGCAAAGGATTTCCTGAAAGATATTGACCTCATCTGTAGCAATGCTTTAGAGTATAATCCAGACAAGGACCCAGGAGGTAAGGATGCATAGGGCAAGGTTTCCCTTGAAAATCAGTCAGAAGGCAGTTTACCATTTAAATACTAACTCATGCCTGTGTTCTAGATAGATTAATTTTCACGACCTGTTGTTTTTCAAAACTTGTTAATAAGAAACTCATAGTCTACATAAAAATAATGTGTTTAAAGTAGAGAATTGTATGGTTACAGATATTATTTTCAGGGGTTCGTTTCTTCATTTACATTCTATTTTTTATATTTACATTGTGATTTGCGAATTTAATTGAAAATTTATTAGTCAACAATCACAGTGCTGATAAACACTGGGAATTTCGAATTCATGGAAATCCATGATAGGATAAGTTTATGTGTCAAAAGATCCTTTTATGTAGAATGTTATCTGTTCTTTTGATTATTGGTATTTTTATGTAATTATTTTATTCCTAATCCATCCTGTATTCAAGTGTATAGTCCCAACTTTTGTTATCTGGTTGATAACAGATATATCCTGGAAGACCACCAGGAGTATATCTGCAGTGAAACAAGATGAGGTGATTTATTATACTGAGGGAGAATATGTGTCATAGGGAACCATACAAGATTTGGGCTTGTGTTAAGTGATTTTGGTTAGAGTATAAGGAAGTGGGGCTTTGCAGTGGATTAGATGCTATTGGAAAGTAGGAATAATTTTAAGAACCTAGAAGGCAAGAAAATGGAGCAAGGCTAAAGCTATGATTGATAAAGAAACAGCAGTTGGCTGGGTGTGGTGGCTCATGCCTGTAATCCCAGCACTTTGGGAGACTGGGGCAAGTAGATCACTTGAGCTCAGGAGTTTGCAGGCCAGCCTGAGTAACATGGCAAAACCCCGTCTCTACAAAAAATTACAAAAATCAGCTGTGTGTGGTGGTTGCACACCTGTAGTCCTAGCTACTTGAGAGGCTGAGATGGGAGGATCACTTGAGCCCTGGAGGTTGAGGCTGCAGTGAGCTGTGATCATGCCACTGTACTCCAGCCTGGGAAACAGAGTGATAGCCTTTCTCAAAATAAAAAGGAAATAAAAGGAAAAAAAAAGAAAAAAGAAAAAAAAAAAAAGAAAGAAACAGCAGTCATTCATATTAGTCAGGATTGTGTTTGGTCATTGGCTATTATTATTTATTTTTACTTTTTTGAGATGGAATCTCCCTCTGTTGCCCAGGTTGGAGTACAGTGGCATGATCTCTGCTTCCTGCAACCTCCACCTCCTGGGTTCAAGTGATTCTCCTAGCTCAGCCTCCCGAGTAGCTGGGATTACAGGTGCCTGCCACCGTATCCAGCTAATTTTTTGTGTTTTTAGTAGACACGGGGTTTCACCATGTTGGCCAGGCTGGTCTCAAACTTGTAATCTCAAGTGGTCTACCTGCCTCAGTCTCTCAAAGTGCTGGGATTACAGGCCTGGGCCACCACGCCCAGCCTGATTATTGTTTTTTTTGGTGGTCAGGACAATGTTCATGTTTTGTCTGTGTTTGGACATGATTAGACAGGGTGGTCTAATTTTTCTCTTGACCCGTCATGGGCACAGGGTGGCCTTGTCTGATATTAGTGTTCTGTGAAATTGTTTATGTTTAATTGTAGTACCCTGAGGCGTAGCTGATAGTGCCAGGCCAACTCCTGGCTATCAGGAGCCACTTTTTGCTTTTTTACTCTATTGAGAATTCTATTTATTTGATAAGTAATACTAAAAATAAAATGCTTCTTGTTTTTAAAACATTCATTTAAGTTTTTGTTATCTAAAGATAGTTAGAATATAATTTTTGCTTTGTTTTGTTTTTTGTTTGAGACAGAGTCTCATTGTGTCACCCAGGCTGGAGTGCAGTGGCGTGATAGCAGCTCAGTGTAACCTCCGCCTCCTGGATTCAAGTGATTCTCGTGCCTCACCCTCCCAAGTAGCTGGGACTACAGGCACGTGCCACTACATCCAGCTAATTTTTGTATTTTTAGTAGAGATGGGATTTTGTCATGTTGGCCAGGCTGGTCTTGAAGTCCTGACCCCAGGTAATCTGCCCCTCTCGACCTCCCAGAGTGCTGGAATTATAGGTGTGAGCTACGGCACCTGGCCTGTGCTTTGTTTTGTATCTGTATTTTGAGGCAGAGCTTCTCAACCCAGGCCATATGGTAAAATGACTTAGATTTCTCAGTTTCACATGAAATTAGGTATTTTTTTGCTTCAGTTTCAACCATAATATATCACAGATTCTATAATGGGAAAAACTGCAATTTCTTTTGCACCAATCCAGTAATTTCCAAGTTAGGAGGCAGAATAAAATTTTGTGTGGCTGGACTTTGTATGTAACAGTTTTTCAGCTTTATGTTATTTACCTCTTGTAGTTTTTGTTGTTTGTTTACTTTACCTGTTTTCGAGTTATTTTATATAACACACACACACACACACACACACACACACACACACACACACACTTTTTATTTGGACACAGCATCTTGTTCTGTTGCTCAGGCTGGAATGCAGCTGTGTGACCTCAGCTCACTGCAACCTCTGCCTCCTGGGCTCGAGCGATCCTCCCACCTTAGCCTCTCAGTAGCTGGGTAATACAGGCACACACCACCACACCTGGCTAATTTTTGTATTTTTGTTTGTAGAGAAGAGGTCTCGCCATGTTGCCCAGGCTGGTCTCAAACTCCTGGGTTCAAGTGATCTGCCCACCTCGGCCTCCCGAAGTGCTGGTATTACCCATGTGAGCCAGTGCACCTGGCTTATATATATCTTATAGAAAAATATATGAAAGTAGAACAAAGAAGAACATTAAAAACGTATAATTCCATCACTTAGTGTTTTTTCTCTGTTTCCTTCCCCATCCACGGATATAGTGCATGTAGAATATATACATGCATCTTAGTTTTACTAAAATGACTAGGATTTTTGTAAATTTTGTCATTCCCATAATATTTTGTGAAAAGCTTATTAGCTTATTTCTCCAACATTATTTTAATCGTATTAGATCTCATATAACAGCTAATACCCTATTGTTGGACATGTTAGATTTTTTAGTTTTTTCCTCTTTTATAAACACTGATAAATATCTTTGTAATGCAAATTTTGTGTTGATTCTTAATTATTTCCTTAGAATAAGTTCCTTAAAGTGAAATTTCTGGATCAAAGAATATATATCTTTTAAGGCTTTTAATCTGTACTATTAAAATTTTCTCTAAAAATTAAAAAAATTATACCAGCAGCAGACTGGGTGCGGTGGCTCACACCTGTAATCCCAGCACTTTGGGAGGCTGAGGCAGGCAGATCACGAGGTCAGGAGATCGAGACCATCCTGGCTAACACTGTGAAACCACACCTCTACTAAAAATGCAAAAAATTAGCTGGGCGTGGTGGTGGGCACCTGTAGTCACAGCTACTCGGGAGGCTGAGGCAGGAGAATAGCATGAACCTGGGAGGCGGAGCTTGCAGTGAGCTGAGATTGCGCCACTGCACTCTGGCCTGGGCGACAGAGCGAGACTCTGTCTCCAAAAAAAAAAAAAGAAAAATTATACCAACAGCATCAGGGCCACTGTAAGCCACTGTAGCAATTTTTGGTAAGTGAGAGAACCTCATTCTTCAGTTGGATGCCATCCTGTAACAGGATGGATAGTGAAGCATGGGCTGGATGTCAGCCCCATTTCACTCCCTTCCCTTGCTGGGGTCCTTTATGAGGGTACAGCCCGCACAACTGTCTATGTAGTGGCTTTGGGCAGTGTGTACCTACACCTTCAGCCTGGTTTTCAAGACACAGAGACTGCTGTTATTGTGTAATATGTAATGAGAATGTGGGCTTTGGATTCAGACCTAGGTTTTAGTCCCATTTCTCCTATTTCCTAGCTCTTTAACTTTGATCAAGTTAAGCCCTCTAAATTTTAGTTTCCTCATCTGTAAAATGGGGATGATAACAACATTCTTTAATTGGGGTAGTTGTAAGAATTAAATGAGAAAGTGTATTAGGTTGAACCTTATGAAATTGCTGTTTTCATATGGTTCATCCTAAATATCTTAAGCCTTGAGTGGGGTAGCTGGGACATGGTAAGAGTTCCATAAAGGTTAGCTGTTGGTATTTGTATTCTTATGATCATAATTATTTAAATTGTGCTTTAATTTTTTTATAAGTTGATTTCTTAGCAGGTACCTATGTATTTGCTCTAGAATGACCCTCTATACTTTGTCCTTATTACATTCCCTGGACCATACTTTAAATTTAGTTTATTTTGAAACAAATCTAAGAGCTGGTAGTGAAAATGAATTTAAGTGCTTAGAAAAAGCCAGTTGAGAAGATCAATCCATATTTTCCCCCCCTAAGTAATTAGTTATAACCATGTTGATATTAATATTTTAAGGAAGAAGTAATGGTTTCTGGTGCATAATAACATTTTGCTACAAAATGCAGTTCCACAATGAAAGAATATGGCTCTGTCTCACAGAGTTAACACGGTACACTTGTAACTTTCTTCCTTCACTTGTTCTGATATAAAAAGTGGTATAGTTCAAAGGTATTATTTTGGCTGTGTTTAGATTTTTTTCATATCTTTCATCAAGCAACCTCTTTTTTTTTTTTTCTTAGCAACAGAACCACTTGTTATATTCCAGAAAAACATCCTCAGGATGTGTTGTATAGCAAGTGGAAATTACATGAATGTTGTATTACATTTACAAGTTCCCATGAGTATTTGGAAGCTTATAGTGTTCTCTTTTGCAGAACACTTGGCCATTTGGGGGAAAAACTAACATATACATAGAAGACAGAAGCCAACATTTTGAAAGATATACATGTTGCCTAACTATTGACCCAGATTCTCTCCCTTGAGGATGATGGGAACAGAAATTAAATGATGGGAACAAGGAGAAATTGACCTGTGTTCTAAATGTGACCAGTATCAGATATTTGGCCCTAATTACTACACTATAGATACATAGATACATGATATATTATGTTTGGCTCATCCCCGTTTTTGGTCTTGCAGTGCACCCCTCCTATATTCCCCAGGC